TGGCAAGGTAGACTAGCAAACATGTCCAACCTTTACTCACATTCGAGAAAACACTCCCAATAAGATTGCTTGCTCCAAAATCGAAGAGGCACCGTCCTCCGAATCTCGAGAGCCAGACTCCCAACATGACTACTTTCTTAAAAATCGAAGAGAGGGTAAAGGAACAGTACCATTGCTGGATAATTGGAAAGTCCCTGTGTGTCAACCTCTGTGCTTCGTGGCAAGGTAGACTAGCAAACATGCCCAACCTTTACTCACATTCGAGAAAAACACTCCCAACAAGATTGCTTGCTCCAAAATTGAAGAGGCACCGCCCTCCGAATCTCGAGAGCTAGACTCCCAACATGATTACTTTCTCAAAAATCGAAGAGACACTGCTCCCCGAATCTTCGAGAGCCAGACCCCCAGCATGATTGCTTTCTCAAAAATCGATGAGGCATCGTTCTCCGAATCAATCGAAGAGGCGCTCACTTTCTCAAAAGCTGGGCTGCTCAGAGACCACGAGGGCCGATCTCAGAAATCGAAGAGGCACCTACTATTCTAGCCTTGTCAGCACCTGTCACACGCACACTCAGCTTTGCAGAAATTATGGGCATTCTGTCGAAGACTTCTGGTGAAGTAGAAAGCACATGAATCTTACTGTTCAATTCACCCACTTCCCACACGCAACAATAGCTCATGGGTACCACAGATAACTTTACCAAAGTTCTCTGCCAAAGTTGAGCACGTGAAGCTTGCAGCTCCCACTACATCGCTCTGACCAAGAAAGGTAAAAGAATAGCAAAGAAACAGCACTAACAAAGTTTAGACACATAAATTTTGAAGGTCTAGCTACCATATTATTACCCACAAGGGTAACGGAACAGTACCATTGCTGGATAATTAGAAAGTTCCTGTGTGTCAACCTCTGTGCTTCGTGGCAAGGTAGACTAGCAAACATGCCCAACCTTTACTCATATTCGAGAAAACACTCCCAACAAGATTACTTGCTCCAAAATCGAAGAGGCACCGTCCTCCGAATCTCGAGAGCCAGACTCCCAACATGACTACTTTCTCAAAAGCGAAGATAGGGTAAAGGAACAGTACCATTGCTAGATAATTGGAAAGTCCCTGTGTGTCAACCTTTGTGCTTCGGGGCAAGGTAGACTAGCAAACATGCCCAACCTTTACTCACATTCGAGACAACACTCCCAACAGGATTGCTTGCTCCAAAATCGAAGAGGCACCGCCCTCCGAATCTCGAGAGCCAGACTCCCAACATGATTACTTCCTCAAAAATCGAAGAGACACTACTCTCCGAATCTCGAGAGCCAGACCCCCAGCATGATTGCTTTCTCAAAAATCGAAGAGGCATCGTTCTCCGAATCTCGAGAGCCAGATACCACAGACCACTTTTTCAAAGTGCTCTGACAGAGTTAAAACATGTGAAACTGGCAGCTCCCACTACCGTGCTATGACCAAGCAGGGTAAATGAATAGCATTACTACTTGTTGTTAGGGAGACTCCTATATATGTCGACCTCCATCCCCAACGGACAGGCAGACCTGCAAAAATGCTCAACCCTTCATCATATCTAAGAGGGCACTCCCAACGAAGCCTTTTCGAAATATTCAGCTTTCTTTCCCCCCGATAATACCTCTGCAAACAAGCTATACTAGAGCAAGAATATCTCATATCATCAGGGTTAAAAGCAAGAGTATCCCATATCATGTTTTTTCCCTGTCTTTTTCCTTTGGCCTTGTTTTTACCTGTAAGACAAGGAGAAAGAGAGCAATCAGTCAGCACTTGGAATCAAGCTTCCAGCCAGGAACTGACTGCCTGGAACCCCTTACCTGATTACTTACCTGGCATTGCTCTCGAGTACTCATCTTCAACATCTTATGTTTCCAGGGAAGATTTCCGCATCTGCTTGAGGAACAGATAGGGCAAGTGCGAAGGATACAAGGAAGCATGTGGAGACAAGCGTAACAGCACACGTGCCGATACATCCATTACTCTGTCAAAAGCAAAAGTATCCCATATCAGCAGGGTGGAACGTACTCTAGATTTGATGGACTTGTTTTGACCCTCAAATTCTTCAGTCGGCCTTATACTCTGGAGGAAAACCAGAAAACCCTCCAGCTCAGTTCAAGAATAAGCCTGTGGAAAGTTACTTCTTCAAAAGCAAAAAGTATCTCATATCATCTCTTCTCATTTTTCTTCTCTTTATCCTTCATGCTGCTGCAAGATGGGGAGAAGGTGAACAATCAGTCGGAGCTCTGATTGCTTACCTTGTCTGTCACCTCTTTCAGCAGACCCCCTAGCTCGGCGACTTGGGGGACTCCTACTACATGGTTTGTATCGCGCTTGACCAAGCTTGAAACTACAAGTAAGCTTCAAGTGAAATTGATACATTACCTTGTGCATCTCCACCAGTTAAAGATATCACCCCTGGATGGAGGAAGAGTACTTCCAGAGAAGATGCCACATCTACCTATGAGACAGATAAGGCAAGTCAAGACGACACCACACTCCGATACTTAGAAGTTTCGTGATTACGAGATCATTCTCCCACAATATTTCCTAATGTCATTTGTACTAAATCATTCACTTGTACTCATTAAAGGAGAGCTTGAACCCATGTACTTGTGTAAACCCTTCACAATTAATGAGAACTCTTCTATTCCGTGGACGTAGCCAATCTGGGTGAACCACGTACATCTTGTGTTTGCTTTCCTATCTCTATCCATTTATATACTTATCCACACTAATGACCGGAGCAATCTAGCGAAGATCACAAAAAGCGACCGTTTTCGCTACCTAGGATCTATCTTGCAAGAGAACGGAGAATTAGATGGAGATCTCAACCATAGAATACGAGCTGGATGGATGAAGGGTAAGAGTGCATCCGGCGTGTTGTGTGACCGTCGTAGGCCACTGAAACTCAAGGGAAAATTTTATAGGACGGCAATAAGGCCAGCGATGTTGTATGGCACAGAATGTTGGGTGGTGAAGCATCAACACGTACACAAAATGGGTGTAGCGGAGATGAGGATGCTTTGTGGGATGTGTGGGCACACGAGAAAGGATAAGATTGGGAATGAGGATATCCGAGGTAAAGTAGGAGTAGCCGAAATTGTAGGAAAGATGAGAGAAAATCGGCTCCGGTGATTTGGACATGTGCAAAGAAGGCCGATTGACGCTCCGGTTCGAAGATGTGACTACGGGACAGAGGTTCAGGGCCGAAGGGGTAGAGGAAGACCTAGGAAAACTTTGGAAGAGACTCTAAGAAAAGACTTAGAGTACTTGGATCTAACGGAGGACATGATACAAAACCGAGCGCAATGGCGTTCTAGGATTCATATAGCCGACCCCACTTAGTGGGAAAAGGCTTTGTTGTTGTTGTTGTTGTTGATCCGTATATTAAAAGCCGAGACTATACAAGTCTTTTAATATGAAGCGTTTAAAACGATCCATGGGATATGGCAACGCCACGTATTTAATGAATTAGTTTTATGTTCACCGTCCTTTCTTTTTCCCGGTGGCAGGGCTGCCGCCGTTGCCAATGCTAGTACCCACGCCGTCTTCCTTCCTCCCTCAGCCACCGTATCAACTTTCCAGTTATCCCCAAGTTAAGTTCAGATCAAGGAGCAAACAGGTTGCCAAAATGACAATGGTTGGCATCCCAATGAGACTTTGGCAATGGCAGTCTTTTCTTGAGGGCGGAGGAGAGAGGCAGGTGGTAAGGGAGGAGGAAGGATGTGTGGATATGGGGGCCGACCGGCCGAGCACCAAGGCTGTTCTGTTTATTAAGTACGTGGCATTGTTAGAACCCTTGGATAGTTTTGGACGGTGCACATATATATTATAAAGACATGTATAATCTTGCACTAAAAAAAAACATGTAGAGAGAATCTTTATCCCATGTACAAAACAGTCTTCATGGTCTACTTTGGAAATTAATAATTATCAAGGACAGTCAATTCAATGCGACCCTTTTTCTTCTAACTCTTTGTATAAGAGGTATTAGCCCATTTTTGAACTTATAAGTAGTCACACATTCAGGATTCTAGCATAGGGTGTTCTAATTAAATTATGTTAGATGTTAGTCGGACGGTAAGTTGGGGTTAACGTCTATGCGTCTAGATGGGGGTCTAGATAGAGTTCTAAGCAGACTAGGAGGATTTAAGTAAATTTATTATTTATCATATAGATAAGGGCATATTTACACTTAAAAAAACTATATTTCTATTGAGAATTTGGATTTATTATTTTAATTAGGTTTATAATTTAACATATACCATCCAAAATATCATGATTTTTGGTTTTGTATTTTAGTGAATTTGATGGTAGATGAAAATTCAAGTGATTATGAGTTCTTAGTACTTTACGAAATATTTTTCAGAATGCATATGAATATATAGTGAATTTCAAAAGAAATATATGGTGTAAAAAGTATTAGTTGAGTAGTACGTTATTCCTTTATTACTTAAAATGTTAGGTTACACAACCTGATTGGACAACAATTAAAAAAGATAAATGCGGAGTTGGTCATGTGAGAAATGGAGTTATAAAGTCATATTCTATTTCTTATTCGTTGAAACCAAGGTCTAAAAACAAAAAGAGTCATGGTAGTCTTCTTCATGTTACTTTTCATCTGAAATTAGATTTTTTTTTTTTTTTTTGTGGCTCTAAGCTTCTGCTGCACTGCATCTGAACATCCATTGTGGTCTTCTCTCTTTTACCACCTGCCCAGACCGTTGGATGGTCCTCAGAGGTCCTCACATGCACTTCTTCAGACTTCCATGTAAATCGGCTAAGGATAATTCTTAGGTACTCAATACTAAGTACCTCATAAACTCAATTTTTTAATTTGACTCAATTAAAAGAGGTCACATATTTCTTTGTTTTGAAACCTAAAAAAAATGTCTTTTATTTTTTAAAATAATAAAATATATGTTAAAACATCATTGGACCAAAACAAAAAAGCGAGTACCTAAATATTATTCCTCGGCTAATACCTGTTGTATTAATTAATGTTGCAACTTTCAAGACTCGGAAGAGAATAGTATCAAACTTCCAAACAGCTTTTGTTTCCCAAAAGACAAAAGAAGAAGAAATTTCAAGTAAATTACAGAGACTCAAATGGCAGAGAAGAAGATTATGCACTACAGCAGCTCTCAGAAGATACTGTTAGTAGGTGAGGGCAACTTCTCTTTTGCTGCTTCCTTAGCCACTGCATTTGGCTCTGCAAACAACATTGTCGCCACTTCTCTCGACTCCAAAGGTATTACGGATATCATTGACTTTCCTAAATTAAGAACATTTTATTTTCATAAGTGCTTCAGCAATCAAAAACCGTTTCAGAGTGTGATTCGACGATCAAAACCGTTTCAGAGTGTGGTTTAACGATCAAAATCATTTAGTTTTTAGATTCTTTTTGAAGGATTATCCGTGCCATATATCAATCAAATTGAGAATTGTTGAGTTGTTCGATTGCCTTCATTTACATTTCAACTTTATCCGTTTCAGGGTGTGATTTAACGATCAAAACCATTTAGTTTTTAGATTCGCTTTCAAGGATTATCCCTGCCACTGCCGAATATCGATCAAATTGACGATTTTTTAGTTGTTCGATTGTCTTCATTTTCATTTCAACTTCATCTCAACGAACCATGGTGTTTTCCACATTTTAGATGATCAAACATTTTATATAAAATATAGACGGTTTCAATCGTAAACATGCATTCTTGGGTAGGCACCAAAACAGAAACAATGTCCTTTAACTTATATATTGATATTTGTATGTATATGTGTATGTTTATACCAATTTCTTGACTAAAATCCCTTCCATACTACTTGTAGAGTCATTTATGGACAAGTACCCAGATGCAGTGAGGAAATGGAAGAAGTTAAAGGGAAAGGGATGTGTAGTATTGCATCAAGTGGATGTGGATACCATGAGCCAACACCCTCTGCTAGCTGCTAAACTATTTGATCGAGTCGTCTTTAATTTCCCTCACGCGGGCTTCTTCGGCATGGAAAGCCAGAGGTTTCAAATTGAGTAAGTTCTAATACACAGCAATTCTACATGAATCAAATGTATAGTGATGCGTTAGAACGATGCATTTTCCAGGTTGCATCAAGATCTGGTCAAGCGGTTCTTCGCCGCTGCGTCTGAAATGCTGACGGGAAGAGGAGAAGTTCATGTGACACACAAGACCGCTTATCCTTTCAGCAACTGGAACATAGTGAAGTTAGCAGAAGAGGTAGGGTTATATCTGGTTGAGGAAGCACCTTTCACGCGCGCGGATTATCCAGGTTATCTCAATAAGAGAGGAAGTGGGAGAAAATGCAACCGGACATTTCGTGTTGGACAGTGTAGTACCTACAAATTTGCCAAGCTACCACTTCAACTTCTGGTTCTTGATTCACCTTATTGAATTCTTGATGTGATTTCGTTCTCGCCTCTGTTCTTCAACATGTAAACTATTATCTTATTGTTTAAACTTTGGTATGGAGTAACACAGCAACAAGTCAGCAAGTCAATTCGATCATTTGTCTCTATGAAATTTTCATTTATCTCGGCATCTTCCTTCTCGGAATATCTACCAACTTGTTGGAAGACAAATCTTTGTGTCCACCATAGATCCGAATTGTTCGCGAGGAATAGCCTAGTGTCACTTAAAATGACTGTATTTCGGCGGCCTTTCTTACACCAATTATATGTTCAATCTCTTGTGCTCCGCCCTGTCAAATAGAAAACACAGAAAATAAGTTGATCTAGGAATGAATAGCTCACAATTGAAACAAACCAAATAGGACGTGACCAGAATTTACCTCGTCACCAATGTGGGAAGAAGCCATTTTTCGTGAAGTTACTTCCGCTCACGTATTTGTTGACATTGCTTCCTCAATACTCCTAATTACAACACTAAGACCACTTCGGCTTTCTAAAGCTTTAACTGCTGCTCGGTGTGCATTTTTTACATTTATATGCCCTTGGTCAAATCCACAGCATCATTCAATTTTGTAGCATCCAATACTAAAATATGGACCAGAAAAAAGTGTGTTTACCTATTAACAGATGCCCTGCTTCATGAATGAGGATACGGTGTCTATTTGGAGGCCAATAACTTGAGAGTTAGAGCTAAACAGGTACCACCAAGGAAGATAGAATCCGCAAACGCTAGCCCCAATACTGCTGTAAGGTTAGGCCTGAGATCGATGCCTTAAGAAAGAAGAAAAGATAGTCCCCCAAGAAAGGCAATCAAAACGGGGCAAGAACTTTCGGAAAGACCCCACTTTTTTGGAGCAAGTTTCGATGCTGGATAAGGTAACGTAGAAATGGCTTAAATCAGAACTAGGCTCATGAAGACCATATATCATAATAAGAACATAAAAGAGTCCAATGCAGAACATTTCAGTATAACATCGCTTATATGATAGGGGAAGGGTGTGAATCTCTAACAATTACTAATCTACATCAAAATCCATTGTGAAAGGAATCAGAATAAGCACCTTCTAAACCGGTTGAAGTCTTCAACACTGTTGGTGTAACATTGCGTGTTCCCTCCAAAACTACAAGGAGGAAAAGAACAAAAACATAGAGAAAACAACATGAGATACAGCAATGATCTAAAAGTTCAAATGCTTCCCTTACCTAGACTCGGTACGCCAGTAACACAACTTTGGCGATATCCAAACCAATAACACAACGTCATGATTAAATTTCTCACATGATAGTATCATTACTTAACGAAAAGCCTGCAGTACTGTTCACTTTAACGAAAAATCACATTTTTATTCATTAGTTTTCCTTTTCTTTATAGGATATATAAAGTACATGTCGGTGGAGAAATTTTATACGGCGTATTTGATGCATAATGTGAGATGCTGATCCATTGTGGTCTAAGCTTCTTTTGCACTGCATCTGAACATCCGTTGTGGTCTTCTCTCTTTCATCACCTGCCCAGAACATTGGGTGGTCCTCAGAGATCCTCACATGCACTTCTTCAAACTTCCATGTAAATCGGTTAAGGATAATACTTAGGTACTCAATACTGACTACCTCATAAACTCACTTTTTAATTTGACTCAATTAAAAGATGTCGCATGCTTTTGTTTTGGAGCCCAAGAAAAATGTCTTTTTTTTTTAAATAATAAAATATGTGTTAAAACATCATTGAACCAAAATAAAAAAGCAAGTACCTAAGTATTATTCATTGGGTAATACCTGTAGTATTAATTAATGTTGCAACTTTCCAGACTCGGAAGAGAAAATTATCAAGCTTCTAAACAGCTTTTGTTCCCAAAAAGGCAAAAGAAGAAGAAATTTCAAGTAAATTAATTATGGAATAACTTTTGATTCCTATCCTTGGATTTGGAATCATCGTAAAGATACAGGATGGGGGCTATGTTGGGACGAGATTGAACGTATCAATATACATTTCCTTTCCGTCAACTAAAGTATGTTCCTTTCCCTCATACAAATTAAATAGCAATAACGGCAAGACACCTTAAAAGCAATAACTAGTTTCGTCGATAAATAAATTCAACAAACACGGGGCTGCCATCAAATGGAAGAGGAGAAAAGGATTATGCACTACAGCAGCTCTCAGAAGATATTGTTAGTAGGTGAGGGCAACTTTTCTTTTGCTGCTTCCTTAGCCACTGCATTTGGCTCTGCAAACAACATTGTCGCCACTTCTCTCGACTCCAAAGGTATTACGGGTGATAATCTATTTCGTTTTTGCTACATTGCACCGAGAATTCGCAATATTGATATCAAAAACCGTTTCAGAGTAGGTTCAACGATCAGAACCATTTAGTTTTAGATTTTCTTTACAGGATTATCCCTGCAACTGCCAAATAACGATCAAATTGACGATCTTTTAGTTGTTCGATTGTCTTCGTTTTCATTTCAACTTTATCTTAACGAACCATGGTGTTTTCCACATTTTAGATGATCAAACATTTTATATAAAATATAAACTGTTTCAATCGTCAACATGCATTCTAGGGTAGGCAACAAAAAAGAAACAATGTCCTTTAACTTATATATTGATATTTGTATGTATATATATGTATGTTTATACCAATTTCTTGACTAAAATCCCTTCCATACTACTTGTAGAGTCGTTTATGGGGAAGTACCCAGATGCAGTGAGGACATTGAAGACGCTAAAGGGAATGGGATGTGTAGTATTGCATCAAGTGGATGTGGATACCATGAGCCAACACCCTCGGCTAGCTGATCAACTATTTGATCGAATCGTCTTTAATTTCCCTCACGCGGGCTTCTTCGGATGGGAACACCAGAGGTTTCAAATTGAGTAAGTTTTAATACAGAGCAATTCTACATGAATCAAATGTAAAGTGATGCGTTGGAACGATGCATTTTCCAGGTTGCACCAAGATCTGGTCAAGCGGTTCTTCGCAGCTGCGTCTGAAATGCTGACGGGAAGAGGAGAAGTTCATGTGACACACAAGACCGGTAATCCTTTCAGCAGATGGAACATAGTGAAGTTAGCAGAAGAGGTAGGGTTATATCTGGTTGAGGAAGCACCTTTCAAGCGAGCGGATTATCCAGGTTATCTCAATAAGAAAGGAAGTGGGAGAAAATGCAACCGGACATTTCGTGTTGGACAGTGTAGTACCTACAAATTTGCCAAGCTACCACTTCGACTTCTGGTTCTTGATTCACCTTATTGAATTCTTGAACTGATTTCGTTCTCGCCTCTGTTCTTCAACATGTAAACTATTATCTTATTGTTTAAACTTTGGTATGGAGTAACACAGCAACAAGTCAGCAAGTCAATTCGATCATTTGTCTATGAAATTTTCATTTATCTCGGCATCTTCCTTCTCGGAATATCCACCTAGTTGTTGGAAGACAATTCTCTGTGTCCACCGTAGATTCGAATTGTTCGGCGAGGAATAGCCTAGTGTCACCTCAAATGACTGCATTTCGGAGGCCTTTCTTACACCAATTATATGTTCAATCTCTTGTGCTCCGCCCTGTCAAATAGAAAAACACAGAAAATAAGTTAATCTAGGAATGAATAGCACACAATTGAAACAAACCAAATAGGACGGACCAGAATTTACCTCGTCACCAATGTGGGAAGAAGCCATTTTTCGTGAAGTTACTTCCGCTCACGTATTTGTTGACATTGCTTCCTCAATACTCCTAATTACAACACTAAGACCACTTCGGCTTTCTAAAGCTTTAACCGCAGCTCGGTGTGCATTTTTATGCCATTTTAGCATATTGTAAGCTTGTAAAAGGGACCACCTTGCTTGGTTTGACATCTTCTCAAGATAACAACGAAAAAAAGGTGTGAAAATCTTAGTACTTTAAGTTAACGGAAATCACAGAACTACAAATTTTCGGTTATAGAGAGTACCTCGGGAACAGACAGTGGGGGTTCTAGAAGAACACAGATGCCCCTAAATAGATTTTCATCATTTTCTCCACCCTCTGCCTCACCATAAATAAGAGCTTCAGCAGCAATGCCTGCGAAAAGCACCATGCAGTACCTGAACGCATAATGTGAAGAAATTAGCAAATGCTTGGCATGTTATTACTCTTAAGTCCACAATACATAATCAAAAGATCTAAAATGCAGAGGCAAACTAGGGAAACCTTGGACATTTTACATAAGCTTAAGGAAAAATAATCTGTAGTTCACTTCCAACATATATATTCAAGGAAAGTAGCAACGTCACCCCAAAGAATTTTTTTGTTTTCGTTCAGGTTTTGGAAACCAAATGAGCTTATTCATGACACCTACTTGCAATTTCATTTCATACCCACCTGTCAAAAGCAGTGCCATCAAGTCGTCCTTCAGCAAGGTCATTGGCCATTTTCTCATCCCAAAATTGAGTTCCAGCCTGTAAAATAGTAGTCGGTATGATCTTAACTTTTCATCCTAACAGCAGTACATTGCAATGAAGGACGACAAGTCATACGCTATAATCACTACATATCAATAATGAAAAATGTAGTGATCATTATGTCCTTAAACAAGGTCAAAACTCTATACATTGCAGCCCAAAAAAATGTATTAGAGACTGACTTTGTAAGAAAACCAAGCTAGCACAAAGAAATCTACTGTCCTCTGAGTTTCATAAGATTATACAAGTACATAAACCTGGGCGGCACCTACGCTAATTCAGTAATTCTACTCAAATGCAAGTCACATTAATAAAATGTTACACTTAAATATTCAATGACAAGATAAAAAATTTGCAATAGATACATGATTGCTCTGAAAAGACGTCACATATGACGTACCGTCAATCCAGTATAGTAAAAAATATGCAGGAATCACATTCATATCCTAAATCCGTTTAGTAGTAACTTCATATAGGTTTAGAAACGCGTAATGATGGCAAGATTTCACTGTTGAAAGCACAGCAAACAAAACCAAACCAGATCTCGTATAAAGCCAACAGAGGAAAGAAATTACCTGCCCTTGAATGCCCATTTGCATTGCAACAATTGGGTCCAATATCACCCCACGAATTGGGCAACCCATCAGATAAGCTGCAATTTAATACGGGGAACCAGTTAACTGCACAGGGTTTACACTCTTGCGAGGATGTCACTTTAGTAAAGGTGGTTGAAGATTTAAGAAATGGTTCATGCCCTTGGTCAAATCCACAGCATCATTCAATTTTGTAGCATCCAATACTAAAATATGGACCAGGAAAAAGTGTGTTTACCTATTAACAGATGCCCTGCTTCATGAATGAGGATACGGCGTCTATTTGGAGGCCAATAACTTGAGAGTTGAGCTAAACAGGTACCACCAAGGAAGATAGAATCCGCAAACGCAAGCCCCAATACTGCTGTAAGGTTAGGCCTGAGATCGATGCCTTGAGAAAGAAGAAAAGATAGTCCTCCAAGAAAGGCAATCAAAATGGGGCCAGAACTTTCGGAAAGACCCCACTTTTTTGGAGCAAATTTCGATGCTGGATAAAGTAACATAGAAATGGCTTAAATCAGAACTAGGCTCTTGAAGACCATATATCATAATAAGAACATACATTTTGCAACATAAAAGAGTCCAATGCAGAACATAGTATAACATCGCTTATAACATAGGGGAAAGGTGTGAATCTCTAACAATTACTAATCTACATCAAAATCCATTGTGAAAGGAATCAGAATAAGCACCTTCTAAACCGGTTGAAGTCTTCAACACTGTTGGTGTAACATTGCGTGTTCCCTCCAAAACTACAAGGAGGAAAAGAACAAAAACATAGAGAAAACAACATGAGATACAGCAATGATCTAAAAGTTCAAATGTTTCCCTTACCTAGACTCGGTACGCCAGTAACACCACTATGGCGATATCCAAACCAATAACGCAATGCCATGATTAAATTTCTCACATGATAGTATTATTGGTTTCAGATGCCGTCACAATAGCCTAGAGGCAGATGGGTGCACAACTTTTCACTAACAGTAAGCAAATTGGAATTTTTGAACAATTAGGATCAAATGGTGAGCAAATTTCACCAATACCCAATAAAAATTTTCTCGGAATAAGCAAAATTTACATTACCAACATTCCTGAATTTCCCAAAATTGGGCAAGAATCCTCTGTCCTTGAGAAAGACATAAGCTTTGCCCACAAGCTTCATATTGTCAGCATTGAGGCACGTATCCAGGACCTCCCAATCCCTCTCCAACCCAACTAACCCCAGCTCGCCGAGTCGAGGCCGGGTCGACTCAGCCGCCAAGGACCCATTAGCAAGCTCAATTGGGTTTTTCTGGGTTTCGATTGATTGCAAGAAATTGAGAGCCCGGGCAAGGTCTTTGCGCTTCACCGCATCCTCGTACTCCTTCCACTCTCGAAGAGCTGATCTGGGGACGGTTGGCGCCTCGAGGCGCGAAGAGAGGTGGCGGGTGGCTGTGCGCGCGGCGGTGTTTGGAGGGAGAGAGAGGAGAATTGGGGGGGAAATGGTTTGGAGGAGAGAGAGTGAGGGATTGAACTGAGGTTTGGCGGAGCAAACGCCATGAGAGATAAGACCGTTGGAAGCCGGTTTGTTTATTATTTAGGATATGGAAAGGTTTTTTCATTGCTTTGGAAGCTGGGTGGCAGTTGGTTCGACTGAAATTGTGAATGTCAGTCATATGCTTGTTTGAGTTAATGACACGTTACGCATGGTTTGGGTCGGGAAATGAGCATTTCTACGTAGTCTTCAAAGTAGATGTCAAAAATTAAATGTCAAATATTAATTTGATGGTTGATGTGATAATGTTAAATTTTCCAACCGATATGTTTTTTTTGTTATAAACGATATTTGAAGAACTCATTTTAAAAGAAATCAATTAAAATATATTTTTAAGATCTATAATTGGTGCATTAATGAGACCTACACAATAAAATAATTAAAAAAAAATTAACATCACCTTTTCTCATATATCAAATTTGACATATAAGAACTCAAAGTATCTCCAAAGGAGATGTCAAAACTACCACATAGGTATATAACAATAAAAATTGGCAACAAACTTTCTCCAACTGAGCCTTCAATTTCCCACGTGGAGTTGAGTCAATTGAAGGCAAAGCCTTCTGGCAAATTTGACAGCAGCTGTCAAATCCATTTAATATTTTTAATAGATATAATGGAAATATAATAAATATGGTTGTGTATTTTAAGAATTTGATTGGTTGCCTACATTAATGGACCCCACAAAGTGATTAAAAAATTTTAGAATGACATTATTATTTGACATATTGGTTGGATCAAAAAATTATACAAAATACCAAATTGCCACATAAGCCATCAAATATTAATTTAATGTTTTAAATTTGACATCTCCTTTAAAGATGCTCTCATATGTCAATCCATATAAGATTGACATATCGATTGGATTGACATATCGGTTGGAACTCGCTCCTACCTTCAAATTTGATTACAAAGCATTCCATCTAGGATTTGACATCTCATTTGGAGATGGTCTAAAGCATTTCTACTCAAACCTTTAATTCCTTACCTAAATGGGATAGCAAGTTTAACATGCAATGAGTTAGGTCAATTAGTTATGACATTGTATCGGTTTTTTTAGACATCGATTACGAATCTCAAATTTTGCAAGTCCAACTCTAAATACGAAGTATAAGTAATAAGAATGAGAATGAGATGAAATCAAATAAATTACATGAATTAATTAGAGAACTGTTATTAGCTCTTCAAAAATTTCATTCTACATTCATCATAAGTATATTTTTCTTTCTAATTATAGAAAGTTTAGATTAACAATTTCAAAGTCTCATTTTGCAATCGCAATTCTCATTAGTTATTTATAAATACTAATTGAAATAAAAGTGTGGAATAAAAATTGAGATTGGGTATCGATTCTTAGGGATTTATGTCATGGCAATGGATTGGAACAACCCTTTTATTTATACGGTGTATAAAGTACATGTCTGTGGATAAATTTTATATAGCGTATTTGATGCATAATGTGAGATGTTGATCCACAAAATATAAAATTTATTCAAATTATGCTAAGCGTATTAAGTTATAAGATCATCGTTTAGCGGTTAAGATGTCTAGAAACCTTCTAATTTCTCTTACCTTTGAACTCGTGTGTTATTTAGACCACTAATGAGGATAATCACTCTCGATTTAGTGAGCGGTTCATAATCATGACATGTCTAACGTAAACATTTCAAATATGTTTAGTTTACTTAACATTAATGGATAGCAGTTTCTCATGTGTTCTAGGTAATATAACCATAAATATAATCGTAAGGGTAATTTAATAACTACACACTATTACATAGTTTAATTTTTATATGTAACAATGCATAATTGACTTGTAACATCGACTTTCTGACTTACTCTATACTAGAAAGATTGGAGGAGGACATGGAAGAGGGGAGAATGGGAGGGACTTGAAAATGAGTCCAAAGGGCCCATCCATTCTGTGACACTGTTTTTGGAGAAATGAATAGTTGTTGTGATCATAGGCTGATTCATTTAACACCCATCATATCACAGTTGCCACTTTTCTCAATCTCTCAAAAGCATCGAACACTTAGAACCTCTCCCCAACGATAAGGAGAAATCCACAACCCCCACACATACCGCCCAATCAGTCCCATTGTTCTTCCCGTCCACATCTCTCCCAATCCACAAAAATCGAAAAAACCACCCCATTAACCTCTCATCTCACTCAGTCAACCTCCGTTTACTATCCCACACCCCCAACAGCAATGGCCTCCACCACCGCACCCACCACCTTCTCCCTCCTCCACTCCGCCACTGCTTCCACCTCCCGCACCCGCGCTTCCCTCTCCCATGTCTCCCTCCCCTCCTCCCTCAAACCCACTGCCCTCCGCCGCCTTGGCTTCTCCGCTGCCGACCCCCTCCTCGCTCTTCAAGTAGCTTCCAAAGTCCGATCCTTTGGATCCGGCAAAGGGGTCAGAGGCGTTGTTGCGATGGCGAAGAAGAGCGTCGGGGACCTTTCGGCGGCGGAGCTGAAGGGGAAGAAGGTGTTTGTCAGGGCTGACTTGAATGTGCCTTTGGATGACAGCCAGAACATCACCGATGATACTAGAATCCGCGCTGCTATCCCCACCATTAAGCATTTGATTGAGAATGGGGCTAAAGTCATCCTTTCCAGTCATTTGGTATGTGGGTTCTTTCAATTATGTGCTTTTTGTTACCGGGATTTGCTTGTTTTCTCTGTTTTTTATGGTTTCTTTGTCAAGTTTGCTGAAATGGGTTCTGTTAGTTATTCTTTTTTCCCTTTTGATTGATTTGGAATTGGGCTGAAGTCGAAATCTTTGGACATGTGCTTGTTTGTGTAAAAAATGTATGAGCTTTGAGTTGTGTTTGTGGCCTCTTGAGAATTGAAATGGTTTGTGTCTGATTCTGGGTTTGTTTTGGCTTGATTTCGGTCCAATTGGTTTATTTAGTTTTTACAGTTTTATTAATGTACTAATTTGGTAGCTTTTTTCTCTGAACTTGTTACAATGTGGATTACCAAAATTATTTTGCGTCATTGGTTGGAATTTTTTGTTTCGGACTGATGAAGTTGATAATTCTGTTTGAGATTAGACTATTAGTTGCATTTGCACTATCACTACCAAGAACAGATGTGGTTTATGTCTTCATCTTCCGATTTGATATTTAGGCAGATCTCATCAGTTATTGAATGATGTGATGCAATAAATCTGTGGTTTTTCTTAAAACACCGGCTTTCTTTCATTGCTGATTAAGAATTTTCTTGTATGTTTTCAGTGTTGATGGTTGGGGCTATGTTTTCAACTTTTATGGTGCTTTATGATTGTAGTTTTGTTTGTACTATTGGCATCTCTTTGTTGCCAAATACAATGGTATTTGATGCAAGCTGAATCAATGTGCATTTTATTTCAGGGACGACCAAAAGGTGTGACCCCAAAATTTAGCTTGGCACCTCTTGTACCTCGGCTTTCGGAGCTTCTTGGCATTCAGGCATACATTTTTATTAAGAAGTAAAATTGTAATAAGAAGACAAATCAAAATGGCAATAAATACGGGTGTTTAGTGAAACTGATTTTTTGCTACTTCTACTTTTGTTTGCATAACTGAAACAGGTTGTCAAAGCTGAGGATTCTATTGGTCCAGAAGTAGAGAAGCTGGTGGCTTCACTTCCTGAAGGTGGTGTTCTTCTTCTTGAAAATGTGAGGTTTTACAAGGAAGAAGAGAAGAATGATCCTGAGCATGCAAAGAAGCTTGCCGCCTTAGCAGATCTTTATGTTAACGATGCATTTGGGACTGCACATAGAGCTCATGCCTCAACTGAGGGAGTCACAAAATTCTTGAGGCCATCTGTAGCCGGTTTCCTTTTGCAGAAGGTGAGGGGTCCCATTCTCGTATCTGCTGTATTATTGGCCATAAGTTATTCTACTGTTTTTTTTGACCTTCAAGTAATACTGATTTCGTAATTTGAAGCTTTAGTTAAAACCAGTCAAGCTAAAGTTGTATTGGGATTTAAGTATCAACTCAAGTTGCTTAATTGGGTTGGGTTTTCACCCCTGCAGATGTTTTGCATGTTGGTAGTTACTAAGATATCTTTGTAATGAAAATCATAAATTTCCTTTTGTGTTTACTTCCTTACAATAACTATGGAACTATAAATGTGATCGTTCCACTGTCCAAGCCTACCTCCCTTCTTTTCTGTATGAACTCCTGGTTTAAATGTTAATGTTTTATTCATTCTTCTTAGGAACTCGACTATCTCGTTGGGGCAGTATCAAGCCCCAAAAGGCCATTTGCTGCCATTGTTGGTGGTTCAAAGGTCTCATCCAAGATCGGAGTGATTGAGTCACTTTTAGAGAAGGTTGATATCTTACTTCTTGGTGGAGGTATGATTTTCACATTTTACAAGGCACAAGGTCTCTCGGTCGGTTCATCTCTGGTAGAAGAAGATAAACTCGAACTTGCTACATCACTCATGGCAAAGGCCAAGGCAAAAGGAGTGTCTCTTTTGTTGCCCACTGATGTCGTAATTGCAGACAAGTTTGCTCCTGATGCAAACAGCAAGGTTCATTGTCTTAACTGACCTTTTACAATTTTATTCTTCGGTTCACAACCTAACACCAAATGATCTCAGCAATAATATTACTGTGCTAATGTTTTATTAACTTTGATCAACACTCCATGCGGAAGAAATGACGAGTTGGTTTTGTACTTGCAGATTGTTCCAGCTTCAAGCATCCCTGATGGGTGGATGGGATTGGATATTGGTCCAGACTCTATTAAGACATTCAATGATGCACTGGATACCACTAAAACCATCATCTGGAATGGACCAATGGGAGTGTTTGAGTTTGACAAGTTCGCAGAAGGAACAGAGGTATGCAGGAATTTTTTTTCTTTTCTGATTTTTACCTGTTCAGTGTTGATATATGCAGTTCCTATATGTATCTTCTTACAAATGCGTACTGTGTCGAGAAAAGTTGTCTTGGAATGTAGTAAACTCCATATCTAGATCCTCCAAATACAAGATAAATAGTTCTCGCATTTACTTAACAAAGTCGATGCTCACCTAGTTGCCTGATTAATCTACTATTTGGCTTTTGTATCCACAATGAACTCTCCATTTAAGTTGACGTGTAGTACTAGTATATCAGTTTGCACCGTTTAAGTTTAGTTTAATATATTTGACTGTGTAGTAGATTTTTGTCGGAGGAAATTTTTAGCTTCTCTTCCCGTTAGAATTACTCTTTGGGAATATGAATGTGATGTGAGTGGTGATGCAAGTTATACCTCTTTCCTTGCAGTCTGTTGCAAAGAAGCTTGCAGAACTTAGTGGGAAGGGAGTAACAACAATCATCGGAGGTGGAGATTCTGTTGCGGCCGTGGAGAAAGTAGGAGTTGCTAGTGTGATGAGCCACATATCAACTGGTGGTGGTGCTAGTTTGGAGCTGTTGGAAGGCAAGGAACTTCCTGGTGTACTTGCTCTTGACGAAGCCATACTAGTTCCTGTGTAAGGACCTTTTTTTTTTCCTCTGCATTTTTTTCCCTGCCCACCGTGTTGGTGTTTAATTCGAGTCAAGAAATGGCGTGTAGGAAGATGTGAGTTCGAGTTGTAAATGTCTAATGTTACCTTTCATATAAGGTCCCAATATGTCTCTATATAAAGTTTCCATAAGAGATGGCGGGGAGGGACAAAGGCAGCCGTTCGATCAATCTAATAAATTTGTTCTTTGCAACATTTTCTTTTTAAAATGTCTCATGGTTGATTCTCTATCTCAATCACAATTTGTTAACCCCTGCGCCTATGGATTTGGTTTCTGGTTCGACGTTACAATTTTCCAAGCTGCGAAAATCAAACATTCAACGGACTGACAAAGTACAATCTTCATAAACTGTAGTTAGTCCTTGTTTTAGAACAAAAAAAAAATTAAAGTTCAAAACCTACGTTCGTCATAGTATTAGAAAATGCGTACGTATTTTGTTTTTTCATGTCTGCTGTATGTGAGGAAATGATGCCAACATACAAGAAAACATCAAAATCTCAAGGACGCCATGCTGTGAAAAGCAAACAAATAATCCATCCTTTACAATGACAAAAACATAACATTTATCGCAACGACAACTACGATGCATTCTTTCATATTTCAAATCTCCTGACCTGATGCGAATGTGGCATTAGAAAACGTCTTAGCAGTAAACAAAGAAAATTAAACAAAATCAGCCAAAGATTGAATCGAACTAAGTAGGGAGCTACCCCTCGAGGTCGTAATTATGTTGAAGTGAATTCCTTTCGACATCACTTCTGTTCTCAACTCCATCAGGTCATCATATACATCCGTCAGGTCATCATGTGCATCGAAACAGTGAGGATAGTATATGGTCATCTTCTCTAAATCGTGAGCATGTTCGAGAATAGAATATGCGGGCTCAATATCAGGCTCATAATCATCATATGGTATGACTACCTCCTTGGCTTGAGAAATAAATGAAAGATCTTGCCATTTCCGATCGTCCATATTTAACCATAGAAGCTGAAAAGACAGACAATCAAGTAAATTGGATGAAAACAAAACATCAACGAAATAAATAACGAGTTTGTGATTAAAACGTGAATCAATCTGCTTAATTTGTGAAGTAGTGTTGTCTTACCTCAAGAATATCTGGATGCAGAATAAGAACTTTAACCTTGCGGATGCTACAAAGAAAATCAATTAAGATATCATGGTTACAGATCGGAATTGACGAAGAAATCTCAGCCTTCTCCAAGCACATTAAGTTTCCAAGATTTTGGCTAGTCGTACATTCCCCAAACCATTCCAAACACTTGAGGTTTGGAGCATAAATGTTGACCCATTTTTTTGTCTTCCTCCGAAGCTGTGGATTTAAATGTAATTTTTTCAGTCTGTCACCTGAGATGTTAACATGGCGTTCGGGGATGTGGTAAAAATCAGACTCATGCCAAAATCCACAATCTTTAAGAAGTAATTCCTTCATGGAAGTGCAGCAACATGAAATCCACTTCAAAAATCGATCATCTTCATCCTTTATCGAAACATCTTTCAACCTCAGGTAATCGAGATTAGACAAAAAATCGATGAAGGGCACATCACTAATCGTGCACTTCATGTCCACAAGCAGAGATTTCAACGATTTACAGTGTAAGATGGAAGCAGGAAGCTCTCCAAACCTAATATAAGTGACAACAAGATGAAGCACTTCAACATTGCACCTCACAGCAATTTCAATCCATTCCCTCAATCGCAATCGGAAATCCTCATCATGGTCGTCATCAAAAAAGCACCAACGAAAACGAAAGCATTGTATCTTAAGATGCACCCCACGTTGAATGAAGAACCTTTTCAAAGAATTGAAAACCTTTTTGTTCTTTCGACGAGTGGATATATCCACACCAGAAAAGTCATGAAAATTCAAGTACGGGGTCGATATATAAAACTCTCTGCATGCTTTGGACACGCAGCCAACCCTAGTAAGGTCTTTGAAGTTGAGGCGAGACATAATTTCATGAGCGATCTCGATCGGGAGATTACTGAATCTATCCATCCTACTAGTTTTTCTCTTTCTTATTCGGTTGCGACTCCGACGATCGGTACTACGAGCATGATCAAAACTTGCAGTGGTCATTGAAAAAGCAAAATACAATCGCCGGTTCACAGACAGGAAAATCAAAACCACGCAACTATGTTTTAGGCGGAATTAGGGTTTTAGGCTGGTTTTATTGTCTAGTACTGGGCTTCTTTTGCTTGTCGATCTGAGCTTTGTTCTAGGCCTTTCGAGTGCTGCATTTTTTTTTGTTGGGCCTTTTGTTCGCCCCAAGTTTGTATTTGTTTGTGATTTATGCTTTATCTGGATTTGAATTTGAGATTTCTTATAACATTAGTGGGATGTTTGCTTACTTGAATACGAGAAGACACTGTGACAAGAACAAAAAATAGTGTTGGAATGCTGGAATGCATGCAAGTCATATCTTTTGTTAAAATGCATGCATGAAATAAACATGTTGGATGACTAGTGAAGTTAGGCTAGTCAACCTTCTTTGTGTAAATTAGGCAAGTTAGGCAAGTTAGGCTTATGTTCTCTTTCTTTTCCTATATAATGTTTCATCTTGTAATTGTTTTGATATGAAATACACATCAAAAATTCTACATGGTATCAAAGCAGGAACTCGAAATTCCTGGCTCTGTTGATCGTTTCCGCTAAGTTTCTTTTACTCTAAGCCAAGATGGCTGGAGAACATTATGAAGCTGAGTGCTCGATGGATGCTCTGTTGATCGTTTCCACTAAGTTTCTTTTACTCTAAGTCAAGATGGCTGGAGAACATTTACTCTAAGCCAAGATGGCTGGAGAACATTATGAAGCTGAGAGCTCGATGGATGCTTTAGCTCTACCTAACGTTGTTCAAGTTTGTGGCACGAAGCCATTATTCTTTGTTTGCGGCATGAAGCCAGCCAATTTCAAGTTTGTTTGCGGCACGAAGCCATTTCAAGTTTGTTTGTTTGCGGCACGAAGCCATTACTAGTTTTTGCGCACGAAGCCATTTCAAGTAGGAATTTGGTAACATGGCGCAGCAAGAAGCAAAGCGTTATTTTTACTAAACCTCTTCCTACGGTTTAGTTCATGCGCATTCTGTCCAAGCTTGGCTCAAGGAATCCCCTCGATCCAGCTTGAGGGGGAGTGTTGGAATGCTGGAATGCTGGAATGCATGCAAGTCATATCTTTTGTTAAAATGCATGCATGAAATAAACATGTTGGATAACTGGTGAAGTTAGGCTAGTTAACCTTCTTTGTGTAAATTAGGCAAGTTAGGAAATTAGGCAAGTTAGGCAAGTTAGGCTTATGTTCTCTTTCTTTTCCTATATAATGTTTCATCTTGTAATTGTTTTGATATGAAATACACATAAAAAATTCTACAAATAGATCGGCAAGAACCGAAAAGTTTTGGAATAGCGACAACAACAGGAATGCGATTCATACAAACTACTCCACCTAATCCACTTCATTCTCGATTTTTCAAGTATGAAATTACAAAATTTAATGTGAAATGTGAAAAAGATATTTTGATTCTTAGCGTGTTAGCGATCGAAAGTGAAGTATGAACTAAAATAAATCTGATACCTATTCATGGTAACTGGTAAGGAAACAAATAAGTCATAAGATTCATCATCTTACCCATATTTATATAAGAAGTTGTCTATTTCATCAAAGGATATCCACCAGTCAAAAGGACATCTCGTGATGGCATGCAGCATGCTCACTTTAATTAATAGTTGAAACGTTGCTGTATGATGCCATAACCTGTAGGTGTCTCATCTCAAGATGTCCGTGCCCAATCTTATTTCGAATATGATAATTTTACACCTAGGAAATTATATTTCAATCTGAAAAATATTTTACAAGAGCCATAAATCTATTCCAAATTAAGATCAATATAATTTATAGGAAGCATATTGGAACTCGAGTAAGCTAGCGGCACGAGATTATTTTTGTTCATCAAATTGAAGGATAGCGAGCATTAGCACTAGGGGAGGGTTCGGTTCGGTTTTTTTCGGCTTGGTTTCGGTTTCAGTTTGGTTTCTTTTTATAAAACCTAATTTTTTTAAAATTTGAAAATTGGTCTATGCTCTGCAGCTTTGCTTACATTTTTTCCGTTTCAAAGAAAGTAAAGGAAGGAAAAAAGAGAAAGAGAAAGAAGATACAAGAAGAAACAAAGAGAAAGGAGATGTAGGGAGGGTCAGGTGGGGAGAAAAGAAAGGAAGAAAGCAGAGGGTCGGATGGGGAGAAAAAAATGGAAGAAAGTAGAGGGTTGGGTGGGGAGAAGAAAAAGGACTTGGATTATGGGTTAATGGTTGACCTAAAACAAAAGCTTAAAACTTGGGTCTAAACCTAAATTGGACTTGGAAAATATAAACATTCAAATATTAAATAAATAAATAAACTTAATTATATTTAATTCGATTTGGTTTGGTTTTGTTTGGTTTTTGAATCATCGAAATCGAAATTGAACCAATAACTTTCGGTTCAATTCGGTTTTCTTACTTCGGTTCGGTTTTTTTTGTTCGGGTTTTTTCGGTTTCAATTTCGTATTCAGTTCGGTTTTTTTCGGTTTTGGGGTTTTCCAACCCATCCCTTATTAGCACCATGTTAGTTGTCGTTGAATGAGTGGTTTAATATATGTGCTACACATTTCAAAGTTTACATTCATCTAACATCAGTTATTGTAGTGACACGCTATTTGTAGAGACATTACTTGATCAACTGACTTAGTCTACAATAAGCAAAAGTGACTATTTAGGATGCCAAGAATATGCCAAAACATATTAGGTGAAGAAAAATAAATTTTATATCAACAGCACAAAACCATATACTGCCAGCCCATGGTTTTCCCTAAGGCCAGGTCCAGAGAAAGAAGAGTGGAGAATCCTTGAGCTCACCGTGCTGCCCAAGATGGCAATAACTAGGTGCGCTCCTAACAAAAAAAACTCGCACGTGTCGTACATCCCACGCACCAAATCCTTTCTTTCCTCTATTAAAAAAAAAAAGCCCTCTCTTACTGTCAGTCTCCCTGTCTTGTTCATCTATCTCTCACTCTCAAAAGGTCTCAGCTTTGTTTCTGTAAGCCCCTAAAAACCCAATCTTTCACCTCTTTTCGTATTTATTTATTGACTAATTGATTTGGGTTTTTTTAATTCTGATCGATTTCTACTGTTTTTGGATTGTCTTGGAGGTGATTTTTGTGCTGCGATGGCGACCAAGAAGAGCGTGAGTACTTTGAAGGAGGCTGAGTTGAAGGGGAAGAGAGTGTTTGTGAGGGTTGATCTCAATGTTCCTTTGGATGACAACTCCAACATCACTGACGATACTAGGGTCCGCGCCGCCGTGCCCACCATCAAGTACTTGATCGGCCATGGCGCCAAAGTTATCCTTGCTTCTCACTTGGTAATATTCCTTACCATTTTTACTATTTTAGAATCTGGGTTCTGTTTGTTTGGGAATCAAATGTATGGGTTTGTGTTACTTTGTAAGATTTGTGTGTTTTGAATCGATTAGTTTCTTTGCTGACGTTGTTCTGAATTCTGAAAATTACTGATTGGATCTGCTTTGCATGGTCAGCTTGGATCTTATAAGTTTGATTGATAAGGATTACGATGGATTTGCTGCTTGATCAATGTTGATCAATTTGAAGATCCCCATTTTGTTTTACCATTCTATATGTTTTTTAGTTATCGTATTATTTTGACCATATTATTTGCTTTAAGTTCGTGCCCACTATTGGAGTTTCGGATAACTTTTAGTTTACTTTTATGTATTCGCTGATGTTGCATCTTAGTTAGGATTGTGTCTGGTTTCATCTGTCTCATTGGTTTGTAGCAGTGACTGTTTGCTGTTAGTAATAACCGAATACTGACTCCTAGGATTGATCCTTTGAAAGCAATGAATGATCAATATGGATTGTTTACTTTGAAAAGTTGGTTTCTTTAAAACATCTCTTTTGATGACCTTGGCAAGTTGTGCAGCTCTTGCGGGTGCTTAAGTAGTCCTTGAAGTTATAGCTTGCTGATTCGTTCCACTATTTCGTTTATTGTGCAATTATTATCATTTTTGGACTTAGCTGTTTCATTCTTTCTGCTTATTTCATCCCCAATTTATCTGTTTTCACTTTTCACTGCTTCTTTTACTTTTATAATACTTTTTTTCTAAATGCCTAGATATAGTGGGATAGATTTGTGTTGCAAGATCTGGTGAATGGTTTTTATGTTTGTGTTTATGTTCTTATTTTCCGAACCAATTTGAGGTAACCTTTGAAAGTTACTTATGAAAATATGCTCTGGATTGTTGTTTTTAGGGACGTCCCAAGGGAGTAACTCCCAAATACAGTTTGAAGCCTCTTGTGCCCAGGCTTTCTGAGCTCCTTGGACTCGAGGTTTGTATTTTCTTAAACATTACAATTTTTGTCCGATGGTTTTTATCTCATGGAAAGCTCTATTTGATCATAACGTATTTATTTATTTTCTGTTACAGGTTAAGATTGCCAATGACTGTATTGGTGAGGAAGTCGAGAAATTAGTTGCTCAACTTCCAGAGGGAGGAGTTTTGCTCCTTGAGAATGTTAGGTTCTACAAGGAGGAAGAGAAGAATGACCCTGAATTCGCCAAGAAGCTTGCTTCACTTGCAGATGTTTATGTGAATGATGCTTTTGGTACTGCTCATAGGGCTCATGCATCAACAGAGGGAGTGGCTAAGTACTTGAAGCCTTCCGTTGCTGGATTCCTTATGCAGAAGGTATGTCAGTTTTAACTCACCAATTGCACTTACTTAAACCATGAATGCTCCACCGCTCTACTTCTCATTGAAGTTATTCCCTCTTAAGGATAATGGCGGTCGCAAGATATTTCACACATTTACTTTTCATATATGGTACAACAATTTTTCTTGTTATGGTAACCCCATGTTTTATTCATGTGGTGCTATCAGGAACTTGACTACCTTGTCGGCGCCGTAGCAAATCCTAAGAGGCCATTTGCTGCCATTGTTGGCGGTGCAAAGGTGTCATCCAAGATTGGAGTGATAGAATCCTTGTTGGAGAAGGTTAACATTCTCTTACTCGGTGGAGGAATGATCTTTACCTTCTACAAGGCCCAAGGGCATTCAGTTGGATCTTCCCTTGTGGAGGAAGACAAGCTTGATCTTGCAAAGTCACTTCTTGAGAAGGCCAAATCTAAGGGGGTTTCTTTTCTCCTCCCAACTGATGTGGTTATTGCTGACAAGTTTGCTGCTGATGCAAACAGCAAGGTCAGTAGTTCCTCTCCGTTGTTTTGATAACTATCACAGAAATGTCACTTTATGGTTTCTCAAATGCTTATGTTTTCCTGCAGGTTGTGCCAGCTTCTGCTATTCCAGATGGTTGGATGGGATTGGATATTGGACCAGACTCGATCAAAACTTTCAGTGAAGCTCTGGATACCACTCAAACTGTTATCTGGAACGGACCTATGGGTGTTTTCGAGTTTGAGAAGTTTTCTACTGGGACTGTGGTACATAATAAACTTAATTTCTGATGATTTTTGAACCATCAGGCAATATATTGCGTTTTACCCCATCTATGGAAGCTTCCGTGCTTTGATAGCCATTACAATTTCTTATATATCACTTATGGGTCGTCTGATAAAATGCAGATTTACATAGATTTTCTTATCTAAAAGTAATCTTATATAACTGTTTTGGGACTTGAGAAACATCAATTCATATAGATTTTATAAATTTAGGCACTGATTATGAATCTAATCCATTTCATGTCATCAGGCAATAGCTAAGAAGCTTGCAGAGCTGAGCGGCAAGGGGGTGACAACAATCATCGGAGGTGGTGACTCAGTTGCCGCTGTTGAGAAGGCTGGGCTTGCTGAGAAGATGAGCCACATCTCAACTGGAGGCGGTGCAAGCTTAGAGCTCCTCGAAGGCAAAACACTCCCCGGAGTCCTTGCTCTTGACGATGCTTAAGCTGAAAATTTCTCAGTTTATTTTGTGCATTTCGTTGCAGTTAAATGGTTGGTTTTCAACCAGAATGGATCAAGTAAAACAGAGCTTATCTTGTAGAGGCTTATAGGGGTAGAGATTTGAATAAGAACCGTCTTGAGATTTACCATTTTACGTGGGTTGGATATTTTTTGGAACAATGTTAATGATCCGACGTGTTTTGCTACACATCAGTTTGCTGTGGGAAAGTGATGTTTTTGGTACTAACTTTGTTGTTTGATCGTTATAATGTTGTATGATGGTTTGATTTAACGAGAAATTCTACGGTGTGTTGGTGTGATGTCTTGCAACGTATTTTATTGTTTGTTCATATTGTAACACGTGAAATAATCCATGTGACTGGTCATTGTTATGTTGAAGAGTTTTTCAAACCTTATTGAGTGGTTGTAATCTCGAAGTGTGTGATGAGCCTGGCAGCAACCCTATCTATCTTCGATATTGTCAGCATCATGTCCTTGGGAAATTGGGTTGGAGTTTCAATTGACTCTGAGGGTGGAATCGGAATTTGGTATTTACCAAAGTTAAAGTGGAGAAGTGTTCAAGTTGGCATAGCAATGCAAAAATTAGTGTCAAGTCCTAATAGTATAGGGTCTAAAGTGAAAATCCTTTTAAAAATACAAATAAAAAATAATTTTCAAAAGTATAGGGTCTAAAGTGAAAATAATTGTAAAAGTTCATATCGAAGAAGTTGATTCATACTTTTCTTGCATGCACTTACCATGAAACACATTATATTCATAATTTTTTATAAGTTCATGCAAGTAGTCGATAAGTCTTTCTATATATCTTGTTTAATTCTTTTTTTTATGTTGCACTCGTTCGTTTTATTAAAAAAATGTATACTATAACTTTTTGTCAAAATGATTGAGATATTCGAGAAACTAAGGGGAGTGTATTCAATTGAGAATGTGAGAGATTTTAATGGATTTATAAGGGGGGTGTATTCAATTGGGATTTTAAGGGATTTTAATTCTTTTAATGAATCTAGGGGTATTCAATCAGGATTTCAAGTGATTCTCTGAAATTTTAGGTGTATTCAATTAGAATTTTAAGATAGTTTATTAAAATCCTTAGAAATCTGGGTGTATTCAATTAGAATTTTAAAGAAGTTTATAACATTCCAGGTGTATTCAATTAGAAATTGATTTTACAGAATTTGAGAAAGTTGAGGAATTAGAGGGAATTGGAGAGATTTCGTAGTGTATTTTAAGCATCCACAAATCTCACCTCTTCCCATGAGATTTCAAGGGAATTGAATCAAAATTTTATATGGAATCTCTACAAATCAATTAAACTCCATAAAAATTCATGGATTTATAAATCCATTAAAATCTCTCACATTCTCAATTGAATACACTCCCCTAAATCCATGAATTTTTATGGAGTTTAATTGATTTGTAGAGATTCCATATAAAATTTTGATTCAATTCCCTTGAAATCTCATGGGAAGAGGTGAGATTTGTGGATGCTTAAAATACACTACGAAATCTCTCCAATTCCCTCTAATTCCTCAACTTTCTCAAATTCTGTAAAATCAATTTCTAATTGAATACACCTGGAATGTTATAAACTTCTTTAAAATTCTAATTGAATACACCCAGATTTCTAAGGATTTTAATAAACTATCTTAAAATTCTAATTGAATACACCTAAAATTTCAGAGAATCACTTGAAATCCTGATTGAATACCCCTAGATTCATTAAAAGAATTAAAATCCCTTAAAATCCCAATTGAATACACCCCCCTAAAATAGAACAATGAGAGAATGTGAGCTACTCAATTTAGTACCCTTTAGGGTAGGGTCGATCCTAAAATTTTGGACGCCTTGTGCAAGAGTAATAGTTGAAGTACTTTTCTTAAAAAATTCAAAGTTAATAGATATTATATAAGAAAAATTAATAAAAATGGTTTGAAAACTTTGAATTTTAATGATAAGGACAAAATAAAGGGTAAAGTTAATAGTACCAGGATTGACTTTTTAGTGTAAAAATGTGATTTTTCGTTAAAGTGAACAGTACCGAGTGTTTTTCATTAAAGTTCCTATTATATATGCTAAAACGTTGTGGCACTATTCATTAATAGTGAAAGGGTGAAACTGTCCTCGTTGTCTTCTTTGCTTGACGTAGTGTGAAAAGCCGGTTTTGGCCATGCATGCCACACGTCTTTCATCGTTACTCTCTACTTCGTCTTCTTCACTCTACTTTGGGTTTCCTTTTTCTGCTTCGCTAATCTATTGTTTTTCCCTGTCTTCATCACACCCTCTTTTCCTCTCATATCCTTCATTTTTATTTCACTAAATAGCATCGGAGGAGATCCTGCCTTTGATTTTTTTTGGGATTTAGTTTCCCGTTGCTTTTCAGAGGAGTCGTTCGTTTGGCGAATTCTTGGGAAAATCCAAGCTATCTCCCGTTCTAATTCAAAGAAGTTTTATACCCCATCAAAGCTTTGGCTTCCGTTCTGATTTGAAGAAATTTTAACCCAGAAAAGCTTGGTTTCTTGTTGAGTTCTCCCACATTTGTCTCGGTTTTGGTTTTTGGGTTCTCCTTTATTTTAAATCAACTTTCTATTATTTAATTATTTTTATTTGCCATGTCATAAAAACATGTGGATCTCATATTTGTCACGTCATCACTTAACAATCAATTCAATAGATGACTAACAGATGACTATTGGTTGTATAACATTGAAATGAAATAATAAGTAATATATAAGATTGAAACGTTTTAAAGTTGTCGTACGATGTTGTAATTGTACTCAAACTTGAATGAGCAAAATGTAACTTACCCAATTTATTAAGTATGACTTTTTTCGTATTTAAAATATTGGGCTGGAACACTGAGTCCTAATTTTTGCGAAGCCTTTTGTGGCCGCCCAATCCACACACCCTATATGATGTTGGACAACGAAGAAAGATAAAGAAAATAAAATGTTTCAAATTTTCGGACAAAATGTTGAGAAACATTGGATTCGATTGATATGACGACGGAATAGGCATCAAGAAGTATTTTGGCATCAGAATTAGACGTATAATATGTTGTTTTGAAAAGAATTGTGAGCATAAGAAGACTAATGGTTTTACCATGAGCCCATAGTGTCTAAGATCATCCGAGGTTGTTTAGGCTTTCAAAAATACATTTATTTTTTGTAATAAAAATCAACCTTTTCATTTGTCGTCCGATTAGTGTCATTTTGATTTTGTTTAATTACCTAAGACCCTTGAGCTTCTCCAATGCATTTTGATTATGTTTATTTAAGCTGTTGACTTATATTGTAATACCATCTTTCACGAAATTTATATTGAACTTGTCATTCACGAACGTTATGATTTTTTTTAATACAATGTATTTACACTAGGACGTGATAGGAAAAAATTGGTATCGAATTCGTCATCCATAAGATTCAAACCTAAGACCTCAACACTTACAAGTGAATAAAAATATCATTTGTAAAACTATGTTTCAAATGGATTTTAAATTTAATTAGAGGTATTATTTTTAGAGCCAAATGTGTGACTCATCCTATTGCAAATGCAGCAGAACTATCCTCTTTTTGAGAAAACAGACGCATCAAAGTGTTAATATTAGGTACTCGGACATAGGTTTTGCCAAAAACAAAAAGTAGCTCTCCAAAAATATCACAAAAGCAATTCAACAAGAGAAAACCAACTCTAAATCCTTGGAGCATTTGCTCAATCCATTCGAGTTTTTCACGCATGCTTCTGCTCAATCCGGAGGACGGAACCCTTTATAATCGAAGGTGGCAACGTACGTGGTTTTCGTCATGATAGTGCAGCTCCCGTACTCCCTACAACGAAAAGGTTGATTCATCAGTCATAAACTGAAGATTCTGAATGTTCACAAGTGAAGTGAGATGGGACGTACTCTCGAAACTTTTTCACGTCCTCATAGTGGCTCAAGGCTTGCTCAAACTTGAGCCACTGCGGACCTGAATCCTGAGGATTCACATTCTTTGGCCCCAAGATATAAGCCTGAACAACGAACTCCGGAGTTCTTGAGCTGCTCGTTTATTATGACCATCAAATTAGACGTAACGTGGTCAATGATGTCCACATTAGGCAATCGAAAATTTATTTCCAGTGACAAATAAATCCTGTAACATACTTACCTCCCTTCATATTCCGCTAACCATACTAAATAGGCTGCACCAAAGTACATCGAGAAAAATGGCTTGCTAAGATCATCACCTTGATTAGGATTATATGCTCTAAAGCCCATCTCGCTGCACACAACGCGGAAGTTTAAATGTATAGTAAAAACTGAAAATAATCTGCTTTAACATTTCCAAACACTGGAACAATCTCTAGACAGATTGCTATAAACTTTTTGAGCATGCTTCTCTGTTCCAATTAAGTTCTGTTCAGGAGATAGACATACTTGTAGAGCCATGAAGCTGTAGAATAGTCGATTCCCATAATTCCAGCACGTGGTCCGACACCATTCAGGAAACGCAAGCTAATAACCTCTGCAAGAGCACAAAGAACTGACTGTGCAAAAAATAAGTCCCCCGAAAAGAAGAATAACAAAGTAAAAGACAGTGAACGTTGGAGTCAAAGAAGTGAACCGAGTGAGGATAGAAATGCTTATGAAACAGAAAAACACAACGAAAATGAAAAATAGTTTCGTTATCTTCCAGGCTTTTACATATCTCAGATGAAGAATCAGGTTGTAAAAACTGTTGCGCCTTGGAACGTTCGTTAGTGTGGAAACGAGATTCAGATTACAACCTCACCAAATCACACTCAGTTGAACATAATAAAATACAAGAAATAAAGACACTAAGAAATTTACGAGGTTCAGCAAAAACATGCCTACGTCCCCGGAGAAATATTGCTCTTCACTATGAGAATAACTAGTACAAGTACACATGAGTTAAATCAACATAACCCAATCCTGAATCCCTTGCACACCCACTCATAGAATTTTTCAAGAACCTCACTCTACCCCAAGAGTTCTTTCACTAGAATACTTTTCACTCTAGCTCTCTTGATTTTCTCTCAACCCATGTTCAACATTTCCCATGGAAGAGCCGAATGCTCTCTCCACCTTGGATGCTTTTCTGGCTGCCATCTCACACACGGCAAGCATGCCTAATGCAAGCATTTCCTTGCATTAAATAAAGGCCAAGCCATCTCATTTCTTGCATAATGCTCCCAAAGTCAAGAGGCAAACCCACTTTTGCTTTTACTTTGCAGCATTTGTCTGCAACTTTCAATGCAGCCCACACCATATGATATTTCCACCGAAAGCAAACACATGTCACTTCATTGTTGCCAGCTCAAAATATGAGCCAATCACAACAAAAACCAGTGTCGAAAACAGTCGAAAATATATTTCACAACTTAGAGGTTATACTTACAGGTTTAATTGGCTTTGTACTGAAGTGTTTTGTGAGTATGATATCTGCAACTGCCTGCAAGAAGTCAATATCATTTAGGTGACATGTTAAGGTTGATTTCACTCACATTGCAAACCGAAAAAATATAATCATAAACTTCAAACCATGGTCTTTTCTAAATTCGTACCTTCAGTTCTACATGAGAAAGATATGGTCTTTTCTTTTCGTCAATGGAAAATCGTACTTTTCCCTTTTTCTCTCCAGTCTTGGTCCACTCTTTAGAGACGTCATGACGATTCCACATTTCCTCCATGTCTTCTGGGGACGCTCTGACATCCCAATAAACATGATGACCTGATCAAATTTTCTCGGCTTAGTAATATAATGCAAATGAGGAATAAAATGACAGAAAATTCTTGAATTTTGTATGACAAAGCTAAGAAGAGGATCTACATTCTTGAGGAAACCTATATATTCGGGACTGCATTCTATCAGAGGACAAACAAAGAATCATCAAACATCGTAAAAACACTTATCAAAACAAAACATGTTTGGATTAGTACCATCCGTGGCAACTCACGGACTGCCATCTCCACAACTGTTCTCTTTACAATGTTCATACTAAACAAAATATAATATATTTTTCTAAAACAAATTTATCAGTTGAGCTGGCGCGAATAACTGTAGCACGCTCTGTAACTGGAAAGAGGACCAACCTGCATCGTGTGAGGGTGCAGACGGCGCAGCATGATGGGTTTTAGAAGCGGAGCCATGAATTGGAGATGGATGACCTTCAAAACTTTTTCTGCACAAAAGGTGTGATACACCATAATCAGCTCTGGAATGTATCTGAAAAACTTTAGCTTCTACTTAACAATTATTGAGACTTCATAATTCAACAAACGCAACACATTGTTTTCTTTTCGCTACAAATAAAGGAAAACATTTCAGTGCATCATTACATTGTCAAAAAGAAAATTACTGTTACAAAAAATGCTTAAACCAAGTTCCAGATTATAGTGATAGAGAGAAGATAGCAACCTGGATGGAAGACTTTCTTTGACTAAGCGATACCGTTGCCAATATGGCAAAGTTGATTTGTGAGTTGCCTTCTTGGTACCACCTTTATATGCCCTAATTATGAATTCTTCACTTCTTTCTCTACAAAGACGGACGTATATATCAGTATCGAATCTTAGAAGATGGATATAACCAAGTCCACATTCATAGGAGACACACGTAACAAGATACAAAAAATGATGAGACGAACACTATATTTTGTAACTCACTTGTTCTCAAATTTTGCTAACCATTTAAGATACGCAGCACCAAAATATACATTTACAAAAGGCTTGAACAGAAGATCGTGATCCCCTTGAACATCATATGAATGGTAACCCAAATCACTGCAAGAAAGTTTTACTTACAACGTCATTGCACCAAAATTACATAAAAAGTAGATAAACAACATTTCTGGTCCATTTAAGAGTCACGTTCGCAAGATCAAATCAGTTCATATAGGTCGTACCTAGCTAGCCAGTCAGCTGTTTTTGGAAAAAGTTGCATGATCCCTACAGAGGTGGACTTAGCTTTTTTATCATACCGCGTAGCAAGGGGTTGTCTATCACTTTGAAGGTCTGCAATAGCACAAATCATATCCTGCAGCAAAAACAAAAGCCAAAATAAAGGGAACGAAAAGACTTGGCCGCATAACAAGGGCATGTTTATTGTCCAGCAGAGATTGAAGCTGCATTCTCAGCAGCTGATGACTCAATTGCGAAGACCAGATATATATGCCACTGAGGAAAAGTGCATTCTATTATTCTTTTGGACGGAGGAAAAAGTGAGTTCAATGCAATCTGATTAAAGCACATTATGGAAAAGGGTAAAGACTAGCTAATCTGTTCTTATCATAGAAAACTTACAGGATCTATTTGTGAACCAAAATGCCGGCGGATGATGATCTCAGCCACAGCCTGAAAAACAGCCATATGATGCAAGGTAAATAATTCAACAAATTCGGAAGAAAATGGTCTGCGCCTAATTTATTCCAAAAGAATTCTCTTTAGCATTTTTTTACTGTCGTTCCCCATAAGGAAACTAAGAGTTGTAAAAGAAAATGTAATTGGCTAATTGCCTAGTCTCATACGTCAAAACTTCTTAGTCAAACTTATAGTAAATCATTTCCTTCAATGTAGTTAGAACTGTGCGCTTCACCTTCATTTCGGTCTGTGTCAAATAAGCATTTCCATCGGGATCGCGCGAGAGGTGAACTTTCTGGCCTTTGGTCTCTCCAACATCTAACCATTCTGCAGCCACACAGGGACTACTCCACAATTCTTCCAGGTCGTGGGGATCAACACAGTAATCCCAATATTTATAGCTGGCAGCCATCCTTGCAATTTTGTTGGATCTTTATCCTAGCATCTGATATACACAAGAAGATTAATTTCTTATAGCAGTATTCATTAAGTGCCCATAAATAAATACTCTTGGAAAACAACAATGTGAGAAACAGAAAAATCACACAAAGTTTCTTAGTAAGAATGAAAATTCTCATACCCCGGATTTCCAAATTAAATCCAATACTGTGCAATTCATCGCAGCCTTAAGACCAGAATTTAATTCATTTCTTCCCTAAGACCAGAATTTGCAACCTAAATCAATCATATTTCAGTCTTAACAACATCCGAAGCCCAAAACAAATAACCACCCCGTCAAAAAGCTGCAGTTTTTCACCATATTATATATATATATATATATATATGATGAACTATCAACAGATCTATATTAGACCCCATAACATGCCAACCCAAAACAAGCACATACAAATACAATGTACATGCATATATATACAAATTTTATTCCATGCATAAGTAAATTGGTGATCTCTAATCATATATGTGACGTTATGTTGTCTGATTGAAAATCAACGTATTTATATGTCGTTCTATATTATTACTTTCAAACATGCATGATTTAGTATAATCAACGATTTTAACAACATAAATAGGAAGATAAATTTTTCAAAGAGGCAAAAGAATTTTGGAGTGGATTACCAGCGGCAAGAGGTGCAATGAGAGAACAGATTTTTTATTTATCTTTATTTTTTAATTGTATGGTCTCTCGAGAGAAGGGTATGCTGGAATGTTATATGAAATGAAGGAGGAAGACGGAAGGTGGACAAATGACCATTGTTGCCGGAAAGTTATGTGGCAATTACTCATCGTTGGGGGAGAGCTTGTCAGAGAATGACACTTGGCTTTCCATGTCTAACCAATGCTGAAACTTTCTTCGTCTTCCTTTACACAATTAAAAATTTTCTGTTTTTGCTCTTTTCTTTTTCGTGATATAAACTCTATATCAAGTCAGACAAAAAAAAAAAAAAAAATTATATCAAGTAAAAAGATAATTTGTAAAAAGTTAGTAACTTAATTGGTTAAGAGAATTTATTTTTACATTTGAAATTTTTAGTTCAACTTTCTCCTCTCAATATCGTTTGTATAAGAAGTTAATTTTTTTTGTTATGCCTTAATAAATTATCAATTTTATTCTAACATTAGTAGTAAATAAATAATTTTGGTTTACGAAATCATGAGTTCAAAAGAAATTGAATACAAAATACAAACACAGACAAAACCTCAAGAACAAATGATAAAACTTGGAAGACAAGAAAACTACTACCAGCCTAAAAGCTAATTAATTAACCTAAAGTGCTGCATTTCTTACACGTTTGCCAAATTCGATGCATGCAAACCTAATTACTCTATTAAGTATATTAACATTTCACATCGTGTGAAAGAATTACTGACAAATTGGAAAATATAACAAAATTGTATGGTGACTTGCAATCTCGCATACATATGATGCGATACCAAAATCTCTACACCAATAATCTAACTTCAACATAAATTAAACTATATCATTTGTGTATATACTATGTACAATGAGTACTAGAAATCTATGGCCGTGTTACTATTTTTTATTATTTTTAATATAAGAGAATTAGAGATGAAGGAAGAGAGATGAGAATAGTTGACAGGAGAGTAAAACAACTTATACAAAATGATCATATCTGTTCCACTGTTGTTTTGTCTTATAATTTAATTTTCGGGCATGTTTGAGATTGTTTTTGAAAGGAGTAAAATCACTTTTTGACAATCATAAGTGTTTTTTACTATGTTAAGTGGACAATTTTGAAAGTGCTTCTAGATTAAGTAAGAAGTTTCTTCGATAAGTACTTCAGTGTGCTTTTTAAGCAGCACTCGGATTATTAATTAAAATCCCTAGATATTTCTGAATTTTGATAAAAATACTTTGTAAGTGTTGTGAGTATAATTGTTTTCTACATAAGCAATTCCAAACAGACTTTTCATCCCCCAACTTTCAAAGAATGTGGGCAATGAAATTGGATGACAAACTCCCATCTCATGATTTTGATATTTTCTTGATGATTTGCTGGGCTCTTTGGGACGCTAGGATTAAAAGCCTTTGGTCTGACAATTATGACAAATGTGCTGGTTGCTAGGGCTATGTCATGGTGGCATGAGTTTGTAGCAATAAAGGAGCCTTTGACCAATTAGTCTCCGATTGGAAAAATTGTGGAGAATACAAAAGTTTTGCTTTCAATGATCACTGAGGTTAGCTACACCTACACCCATGTCCACCGCCAAGTTAATGGCGTCGCCCATCACCTTCCCCGTTATGCTCTCACTGTCGAACTCCCCTGTGCTTGGTTGGATTCTCCACCAAATTTTATTCTGGATTTACTCTTTCGAGGATTGCAACTTGATTTAAGCCTGCTTCTGCCGCTATATTGTGTACTTTTTTTCTTTTTCTAGTTGATTGAAATTTGCTATCGTTTCTTTTTATTTATTTGAAAGAAAAAAAAAACAGAATTTTCATCCTTGTATAAGCTACTTGTTTTCCTTTCTTAATTTTATTTGTGCGTTGAGTGGCAATCATATAATCACATGCATCATGAGTTCCCAGGACAACTTTAACATCTTGATTAGTAAACAACTACTCATATGTGTGTTGATTTCTTGTTATAATGTAGGCGTCTAATTACAATTATAATTCGAATATAAGCTTATAACCAAGTAGGCTAGTGGCTATTATTGGTGTGCTTATATATGATGGGTAACTTTGAATGTTACTCTTCCAACAACATTCTTTGTTTCGTAAGCCTTCTTTGGAATCCATAATCTAATCAATAAGTTGTTTAGACATCTATATCTTCGTATCAAAATTCATATATATATATAATAGACAAAAGAGTCTTTGATAACTTTTCTTAAAACAATTATATAGATGAATAGCACGCAAATGCATCTATGTACAAGATTGCGAACAAAAATTTAGTAATCCCACTAACCTTCAACGTTCTTAATAGGTGCTTTCAAATAAGGGTTCAATGTAGACAAATAAGTTAAATCACATAATCAGTCAACACACTTAAATCTGGAATATATTGAGATTTATACCTAATAGTTGTTAACGAAAGAGACCGAGTGTGGATGCAAATTTTCGCCTTCTTCTTCTTGGACAAAATTTCACCTACAAAACAATTAACACCTTAGGGATAAGGCCAAGAGCCTTACGCGCCCACGATGAATGGGGGGGCTTTGGCCGAAGAACCTCCAATGCCAAAGTTAAAATTTAGAGAGAAAAAGTGTTTAGATGATTTTTGGGAGTTTTGCAAGAGTCTCAACTTAGCTTTTTAGAAGAAATAGGGTCATATATATAGGGAATGGGGTGTTATTTGGTGATTCAATTAACAATTAATATATTAATTAGGTATAAATATATTAATTGGCTAATTATCATAATAAAAGAAATGTTTTGGGAGGTTTTTGGAGGTTATGGAATGAGGATGGATGAGACAAATTTGAACTTGTTAACTATTTTGGGTACTCTTGATTTGGTTGATGGATGATTCTCCACTGCTCGCATGTAGGAGATCCGGTATGCCTCGAGGGTAAATTTATCATCTTCACCCAAAAATCCACGTGTCACTTTGTGATTATTTTTGGCTCCACAAATGCCCCCACACCTGCTGGGCTACTCGTAGGAAAGTGCAGCAAGTGTAGAGATCTTCTTGCTCTAGGAAACTTAGGACTGCTTCCTGTTTTGATGTAGATTCCCTCTTTAATATGAAATTAGATCCTTCTAGGAAAATGAAATAAATTTCTCTCAAAACCTATTTAAGTCCACCTTAAGTGGGTTATTAAATCAACTTTGGAGAGTGATTTATTCTACCCTACAAGAGAGAGCTTAGATGATATTTGTTTCCCCTCATTTAGCAATCTTCTACATTTTGCTCGTGCAAATGACCGTCTTTCGTAGCTTTCTTCGTCTTCTTCGTGCCGCACCAATGTAATAAAAACTTAATTTCTTCTTGTCTTCTTCTTAGATGGTGTTGCCATGGGGCAGTCGTCGGCTTGTCATGGGCCAGTGAGGTGGTGTGGTAGGGGCTATTGCTTGTGCTACTCAGCTTGATTGAAGCCAAGGATTAGCTTGGCATGGGCCGAGGAAGTGGCGTGGCATGGGTAACGGTTTAAGCTGCCATGTCTGGGCTGCTTGCCAAAAATGAGGAAACTGCTTGAGTTTGATTTCTCAGTTGCCGTAGATGGAGCAGTCAAAGATAAAGCTGCTGAAGATGAAGTGTCAGATGAGTGAACTGTTAAGTGCAAAAGTGGCTACTGCCCCTGACCATTTACTGCGTAATTGATCTTCAAGCATTCGATCTTTTAAGCTATGTGGCCTTCTCACACTGGAGAGCTTACCTAGATGGGTATTCAGGAATTAGTTTACTCTTTCGCACTGGAGTGCAATTAGTTTACCCTCTTGCACTAGAGAGCAATTAGTTTATCCTTTCGCACTGGAGAGTAAACCCATATGGGTGTCAGGAAATTAGTTTACCCTATCGCACTGGAGATCAATTAGTTTATCCTCTCGCACTGGAGAGCAAACCCATATGGGTGTCGGGGAATTGGTTTACCCTCTTGCACCAGAGAGCAATTAGTTTATCCTCTCGCACTGGAGAGCAAACCCATATGGGTGTCGGGGAATTGGTTTACCCTCTCGTATGGGTGTCGGGGAATTGGTTTACCCTCTCGCACTGGAGAGCAATTAGTTTATCCTCTCGCACTGGAGATGGGGAATTGGTTTACCCTCTCGCATTGGAGAGCAATTAGTTTATCCTCTTGAACTGGAGAGCAGACCCTTTTGGGTGTTGGGGAATTGGTTTACCCTCTCGCACTGGAGAGTATAGAAGTCATTGTCATAAGTGCGGCTGAGGAAAGCTGGACTGCTAGGATAACCGAAATAATCCTTAGCCTGCCCCCGGTTCTTGGTAGTTGGGCTGATGTGTCCTTCTGGTACTCGTTTGCCCCATGGCCCGCCATTAGGCTGAGCTGCTGTGTTTGTCGAAGCAGAAGTTATTTTTATATCCGACAATCTATGTGGGGTAGTCCTATCTGCTCGATCTTGTCATTAAAAGATAACTTGCTTATGTTGGTCATGTCTCATCGAAGCGCCTTATCAATAGCTTCGTTGCGCAAGAAATTGCGCAATCGCTTGGTCATGAGCCTTTCTACTTCTACCTGAATTTGCCTTTGTTGGGGATGGCAGAGCTCTCGGCTACCCCGGTTTTAACCTGCTGGTCTAGGCTGCTCTTTCATGTGCTCGGCTCATCTACGTCGTGGCAAAGTGCATATGGTCCACTTCTGGCAAACAAGGAATTATTCGCGGGCTGCCGGTTGAACTTGAGCCAGATTGAGTGATTGCTTCTCTCTGTCCATCGTGCTGCTTGCTCCGATGTGATGTGGATGATACTCCTTGCAGGCCTAGCCAAGAATGAATGTTTTGCCTAGAAGGCTGCACATGTTGATAATCAGAGTGTGGCCCCAGCCGTGAGTGTATACTTGTCCTCGAGCCTAGTCGATATTGTACGCTCCTCCGCGCGCTAAGACGGGAGTATACGCTATCTCGGGGGCCTAATCGGGAATGTACACTGCCTGAACGTTCGGCTCGTGGCTGTTTGTCGGGATGCTGCTGGAAAGGTTCGTCTGCCCTTATCTTACTTCGGGACACCTCGTCCGAGGCACGTTGGATCTCGATGCGTTGCAAAAGTTGATTCACCAAAGTCGTCTGTTGTGCAAGGA